AGCCCCTCCCCACAACAGCCCCCACAGTGAGCACCAGGAGGGCCTCCACACAGCGGCCCCCACAGTGAGCACCAGGAGGACCTCCCACACAACAGCCCCCACAGTGAGCACCAGGAGGGCCTCCACACACAACAGCCCCCACAGTGAGCACCAGGAGGGCCTCCACACACAACAGCCCCCACAGTGAGCACCAGGAGGGCCTCCACACAACGGCCCCCACAGTGAGCACCAGGAGGGCCTCCACACACAACAGTCCCCACAATGAGCTCTCTTACCACGTAGTTGGAGTCGGGTTTCACTCTACACGTCCACACCCAGGAGCTCTGCTCCCCAATAGTTCCCAGCCGGACTCCGTCCTTGGTGAAAAGGGACACTTGCTTGTCTGAACCCCCCAGCAAAATGTACTCCCCTTTCGTGAAGTAGCTGAGGCAACAGGGGTCAAAGTTCAGTGACCGATCCTTCCCAATCTGAGGGAAGAAAACACACACAGAGGAAAGAAGTCATTTCTACATCCATAATGTCACCGTTAAGGGCGTGCCCCGCCAACTTTAAGGTAGGAGAGGGGGTGGCAGACAGCTGGCCAGCCTGGTCCCCTACACTATTCCATCGTGAGCACTGCCCTCTACGCAGCCGAAGCCTGGACTCCTGAGGCCAGCGGCCCTCTCCCACCCACCTCACTGCTCCCGGAGTGCGTCTCGCCTTCCCCGCCAGCCTGGAGGCCAGAAGCGGCCCTTCTCCCGCAGGGTTCCTCCACAATGACCCTTGCTATGGTTCAGTAGGTCCCCTCAGCTTCCGTTTTTTTTTCCCCCTATTTTTTTCTTTAAGTATTTCACAAACTTGAGTTCATTCAGTTTTAAAGACTATCCTTTATTCTGAAACTACACCCTCCTACTTCTCTTTGTAACAACATTTTTAGGTCTAACACACCACACAATTCACCTATTTAAAGTGTATAATTCAATGGCTTTCAATATAGTCGGAGTTGGACCAGCAGATACTGTAATGGCCATGTCCCTGGACTCCCATGTAGTGGACTGCAGTTCGAGTCCTGGACCCCATGGCTTAAACTCACGCTGGGCGCGTGTGCGTGCGTGCCCAAGATCCCGAGAGGAGAATGGAGGAGAAGGGATTGCAGCATGGTCATCTCCCCTGGGGGGTGATTTCTCGCTTTTTGTCTCTCTGTCTCTGTCTTTCTGAAGAATGCACACATCCTATAGCAAAAAAAGTTAATATATATATATATATATAGTCAGAGCTGCAACCATCACCACCACCTAACTGCCATCTACTTAAAAAGAAAGTCTGTACTTGTTAGCAGTCTTCCCTCTCTTCGTCCTGGCGACAACTAGCTACCTCCTGCATTTACAGGGCTGCCTCTTCTAGGCATTTCATAAAAACAGCACCACACGGCATGTGGCCTTCTGTGTCTGGCTTACCCATGTTGTCGTGTTCCTTCCCACTGCTGGGGAACATACCGTCTACACATACTGTATTCATCCGCTCGTGAGCTGACGGACGTTTGGGTGCTTTCTACTCTCGGCTGTTATGAATAATGCCAGCGTCACTGTCTATGAACAAGTCTGTGTGCAGACAGGGTCTCGTCTCTCTGGAGCACACGCCTAGAAGTGGACCTGCTGGGTCACAGTCACTGCATGTCGGACCCGTTGAGGAACTGGCATGCTCTTCTCCAAACAGCTGCACCTTTTATACCCGCGCTAGTAGGACCTGAGGATTCCAATATTTGCATCCTAGTGGTTATGAAATGTATCTCTCTGCACTATTGATTTGCAGTTCCCTGAAAGCTAAGGGTATTGAACATCATTTCGTGTGTTCACTGGCCGTAGGGAAATATCCATTCAGATCCTTTGTGACCTTTCTTCAATTTTTTTTGTGTTTTTAATATGACGTGGTCTCAACATGTTATTACAATCCTCCTGCCTCAGCTCCCAGCGGGGACGACAGGCCTACACTACCCCACCTGGCCTTAGTGTTGGAGTGCGAACTGAACGTGGGTCTATGTGGTCCCCATCTGTGGACTGCAGCGTTTCGGCAGCATGCACCACAGCGGCTGGACCACCCACTTTTCATCTGGGCTGTCCTTTTATAATGGAGCTGTAATCATTCATTATACAGTTCAGATACAAGTTCCTCAACAGATATACCATTTGGAAAAATTTTCTCCTACTCTGTGGGTTGCCTTTTCACTTTCTTCGTGGAGTTTCCTCAGCTGAAGGTCAAACTATATTTTCATTCGCTCTGCACAGAAACGAGAAATTCTTTCTGAAACAGGAATCTGACCATGCCCCGCCCTGTGATTTATGGCTCAGCACTTACAGTACCTGATGCTCACACTCCTTATCCCACCACTTGGGTCCTGTATCGTCACCTTCCCATCTCCCTCTCCAGTTCCACCCTCGGTCCGCAAACTCTGGGAATCTGGTCACCCTGAACAACTCACTATTCTCCACCTCGTCATGTATTTCCAGTCCCCCCAACCTTGGCACCTGCTATCTCCTCTGCTTAGAACACCATTCCCAATGTCCTCTGACTGGCAAACACCTGCTCATCCTGCTCAAAGGTCACCTTGAGGGGCCGGCAGGTGGCATGGTGGTTAAGGCGTTGGACACTCCCACGTGGCTGACCATGGTTGGAATCCTAGAGCTAGTGGCTTGCTTTCTTACCCCCCCCTCCATGTCTCTCTCTGGTCAAATTTAAATAAACGAATGAATAAATAAAATTACTTATTCTTTTTGAAAAAGGTCGCCTCTATATGGCCCTTCATCCCCGTCAGTGACGTCGCCCCTCTCCCGTCCCTAAAGCTGCGTGTCTGCACTGCTATCTGTTATGTCACATACCACACCACAGTGTGTAAAGGGTGTCCCCACCAGCCTGGGAGCTCCTACAAGACAGACTACGCCAACACCAACACCACTCGGTGCCAGCAGCTTGTCTATGCTCGGGCTGGCCTAAGTGGTGCCGGCAAACAGAGGAAGGTCAGGTCGTGACTAAGAACTAGACTGTACGGTCAAAGCGACCCGGATTTCGACCGCAGGCTCCATCGCTTACCTGTGGGCGGGGCCTCAAGCATGATATTACCTCACTGCTCTCAGTCTCGGCCCACCCACTTGTAAAAACTGATAATCAGTCCAGCTATTGTGGCACAGCGGTGAAGTGCAGTGCCCTGCAAGGCCGGAAGCCACATACGGACTGCAGGTTTGGGTCCCGGGGTCAGCCTGAAAGTATGCCAGGTGTGTGGACAGGCAGCTAAGATCCTGAGGAGCTGGAGAGCTGGGGGAGGGGAGAGGACTGTAGACGGTGCAGTGACAAGACCCTGTCGAGAGTGCTTTCTTCCTTTTCTTTCTTGTCTCTCTATTGTTAAGAAAAAATAATAATAATAAAAAGAAAAATGCTTAAGTTGACATGAGGCCCAGCCGCAGAGGCACAGTACTCACGTAAGGCCCTACAACGCTGGAAGTCACCTAGAAGGTGGGGACTCAGTTCCTGGGCCACCTGGACATGCTGGGCACGTGTGCGTGTGCCCATGACTCTGGCTGGCAGAGGAAGGCTGTGGGGATCGCCCTGGGGGTATGACACCCTGTTGAGGGTTCTCGTCTTTATCTCTCAATAAGCAAGTAAACTTAAATAAAAATAAAAAGTAGATCGTGGAAATATTTACTTCTTAGGGTTTATACAAATGAAATGAGATAAAGAATGCAAAGCCCTGGGCACAGTACGCGGAATCACCGTGAATGCTCCACAAGCATTTATGTATTACCTCCAATATACGGTAATCTCCTACCATTAGTAAGCAATCTCAGACAGTGAAAATACCCGACGGGCAGGGCTGCAACTGCATCTGCACCGCTTCATACCTGTTTCCCACTCAGCTGGTAGAAGGAGAGCTTCTGGCCCCAGTCAGCTACAGCCAGGATGTCATTATGCTCCTCTCTAATCAACAGAGGACAAAAGAGGTTACCAGAGGCCACGGCCGGCCGAGTGTAGCCCAAGGGTTTAGTAAACACAGGAAAAAGAAAGCCCGGCCAGGCTGTCAGGTTGCCAAACGCTGTAGAGTTTGACTAAGGCCAAAGTTGTCATTTGGCCCAACCCTTTCATCAGTCCAGTGGGATGAAGTGGAGGTGAGTTCAGCCCTCCTGGGATCTGCTCTTTCACTGAGTCCCCCGCTACCAGCGCATGGAGCTGGGCCACTGCCACCACTGAGGAAGAGAACCCCTCACTGCAGAGCTTTCTGGGGGGCAGCTCTGAGAAAGAGCAGGGCCGCAGAGCCAAGAGCGCCTTCCCTTGCGCACTGTGAAACACGGGGAGGGAGTGGGGACGTGTCTTTACAGTGGCAAGTTCGGACTGTCTGACTTGTCATGGGGAAGGGGGCGCACAAGAGCTTGCTCTGCCTGAACAGGGAAAACAAATGCCTAAACCTGGGTACCCCTTGCAACTGGGGCCCTCACACAGGTGAAATGGGCTCTGACTGGGTCTAACAAAGAAAGCTGCAGTGGGCTCTCAAAAGACACCAACTGTGCTTTGTTTTTTTGTTTCTTTGTTTTCCTGAGAGATTTTTGCTATAAGGCACAAGTGCTCACCAGAGAGACAGGGAGAGAGATAGAAAGCAAGGAGTCACCCCCCTGGGGAATGGCCGTGCTGCAATCCCTTCTCCTTCATTTTCCTCGTGGGATTTTAGGCACACACGCACACGTGCCCAGCCTGAGTTTCAAGCCGCTGGGTCTGGGACTTGAATCATAGTCGACCACGTGGGAGTCCAGTGCCTTAACCATTTAACCATTCTGCCACCTGCTGGCCCTGACACCAACTGACTTTGAAATCGAATTCCCATGGGGATGAGTGCCTTGGCCAGGCCTACAGAGCAGGCATGCAGGAGAAACTCCCCAGCTGGGCCCAGGGAGAGACAGGCATCTCCAGCCATGAGGCTGGGTCTCACTCCACCTGTGGCTGCCTCTCCTCTGGTTAATGCCAGCTCTTCTGGGCCCAGAGCCTTGTGGTCAGCTGGCAGCACCACAGAATATGCAGGCGTGGAGTCAAGAGTGGCAAAGGGCAAATGTGACAGGCACGACTTCGTAGCCAGGGGAAAAAGCAAGACCAAGGGGATGTTACCAGTAAGGGGCCGCAGGTGAGCTCCATGTGACTGGCTTCGTGGTCCCAACACGATCCAGGAGCCCAGCCTGCAGTGAGATCTTCAGAAGCCCACCTACGGCTCTGGGCTGGGCTCAGGTCCTAAAAGCTAGATAGAGTTTCAATCTCTTTTCCCCATTTTTCCACCTGGAGCATCATAACTCTTCAAAAATCGTTTGTGGGACCAGTAGTTGGCAAAATGGCTATGTCGCTGGACTCCTATGTAGTTGATCACAGTTCGAGTCCCGAACCCAGTGGCTTAAACACGCTGGGTGTGTGTGCGTGCATGCCCAAGATCCCGAGAGGGGAACAGAGGAGAAAGGATTGCAGTGTGGCCATCCCCCCTGGGGGTGATTTCTCACTTTCTGTCTGTCTCTGTCTTTCTGGCGAGTGCACGTGCCCTCTAGCAAAGGGCTATAAAAAAATCGTTTTGCACATTAAAAGGGACTGCTCTGGTGGAAGCACAGGTGGGCCCTGAAGTCTGCTCCTTCCTTTCCTTGTCCCCACTTCCTACCTCAGGACCTCCAAAGTACCTCAGGCACCAGAGAGCACAGTTTGGAAAACACCAAACTCCATCACTACTGTCAGCTGGGAACATCCTGGCTACTTTTGCTTTCCTTACTCAGGCCTGCCAATGTGTTCCAGGCAGGTCCCCTCGGGAGAGGAGAAGAGATGTCGCCTAGACAGCCAGTGTGTGCGAGGCCTGTGCATACGGTCCGGGCTTCCCCAGCACACGCAGCCTCACCTGGCAAACGTAAGGTGAGGTACCGTGTGGGGACAGGCCAAGACGCCTCTCTGGGGGCAGAGTAAGGTCACCTGAACACGGGCACACACAGAACGTTCTAGACAGGCATCACAAACCACGGTCTTCCGGGCCAGCAGGCGGCATGGAGGCTAAGGCAGCTGGATCCCACAGGACTGACTGCGTGGTTCAAGTCCTGGACCTGGTAGGTTGAAAAGCACGCAAACACATGTGCATGGATGCATGCTCAACCTACAGAAGTGCTGAGAGAAGAAGGGACAAGAAGATTACGGCTACCCCATGAGGCAGGGGTTATTTCTTACTTTTCCTGTCTGTCGTGGGTGAGTGCACATGCCCTAGAGCAAATTGAAAGGAAGGAAAAATTAATCGTGTTCTTCAAAGGACTTCTAGCCATGCTGGAAAGAATCCACGGTATGATTTTTTTCTTTTTTTAAGGATTTTTTACTATAGAGTGTGTGTGCTTGCCAGAGAGAGAGAAAGTGAGAAATCATCCCCCCTAAGTGATTCATTCCATCCTTTCTTCTCCATTCTCCTCTCAGGATTTTGGGCACACACGTACACATGCCTGGTGCATTTCTCAAGCCACCAGGTCCAGGACTTGAACCATGGAGTCAGCCATGTGGGATCAAGCACCTTAACCACTACACCACCTACAAGCCCAAGGTTCACTCTTTGATGTTAAGTGAAAGCCAGAAATGAGGGTATGATAGCCAACTACAGGAACACCCTCGAAGACAGAGGAAAGACATGGAAAGGCTAGCAGCGGTCTCCTCCCAGGCCGGGCTTTTACGGAAATGTTAGGACCTTCCGACATTTCTCATAGTTTGACAAAATCAATTTGTAACCTCCACACGAGGTTCAAGGGTGTGCTACCCTTTGTGGGAGGAGCTCCTGACGATTCCTCCTGAGGGGCTCCAACAATTACCCAGCCCCTGGACGGCTCCCCTGGTCGAGGAGCTTCGGGACAGCATCGGTGGGACCGGGGCGTTGCCAAGGAGGGTTCTCACTCCTCGGCACACACTCACGAGTTGTCGTCCCTGGGACTGTCGTCCTCTTCCTCTGGCTCTTCCTCCTCTGCCTCACTACCCTGACTACCGTACACTGCTGACTTCAGAGTGGAAGGGAGCTCCTGAAAATATCTGGTGACAATGACTTCCTCAGCATCCTCGTTCTCTCTGCTCATCCAGACATTCTCCCACCGGCTGCAGACAGTAAGTGGTTGTTGACAGTCACAGAGCCCAGAACTACACTAATGCCATAATTTTCAGAGCCTGTCAAGGAGCCCCTGAGCCCTACCCGGAAGAGGACGACCACTAGGTGTGCTGGGCATCCTGCCTCTCATGAATTAAAAATGGTAGCCTCAAACCACACCGCCATCTGTGGCCACAAAATCAAACAGCAGGAACTCGGGGGTAGGCTAATGGCCTTTGATGGCATGAGACGTGCCTGGTATGGCCAAGGCTGGACAAAGCTACTCAGGAAGACGCATAATAATCTGGTCCAGGAAAGGCAATGGAGTTAAACAACCTTCTAAATCAAGCAGGCATCCTATCAGATGACATTGGGCTGGCAAACAATGAAGTCCTTTAACTTCAGAGGACTCTCGGGGCAGGGGGTGGGGGATACTGATGGTTTAATAATATTCTAGAATTACACAAGAGCATATGAAGCTATTAGTCCACGCTCAAGGTCACGTGGGCATTGAAAGAAAAACGCTGCAAGGTTTGGGATGGTAGATGCCAATTATTCCGATTGTCTGTGAATCTCTGGGCTTAGGGACATCTGTAGACTTCACTGTGACTTTTTGGCAAAGGTAGCAGAAAAGCTCATGAAAGCTATTTATTAACAGGTGGGCACGTACTTTTCTGCCCAGACTTGGAGGGAAGAAAAGAAAAAAGAGAAAAGACAAAAATAAAGTCACAGCAAAGAGCTCAGCTATTACTTTATAAGGAAATGGCCCTCCTGTGTCGTTCACACACCGCACGCACGAAACACACTTGTGCACGTGTGAGCACACACACGTACGTGCACACACACACACACACACT